AACAGTGTGGACGGACAGAACTGTGTCCAATTGTGGTAAGATAATTGTTACTATAATGTATAATAACCACAGTTGATTCACCCTGCTGTGTAGTGTAATACTTTAAGATGTCTACGTTGGCTGTCAGTCATATGTTTTCATTTTTCTGTTTATCCCGTATATTTGCTTCACGGCCTTTTCCATGGGAAGCACCATTCAAAAGCATGTATTCTAAGCTCTTATTTGCATAATATTGATCATCACCCATGTCTCATGTAACCAAGGAATGTGTTCCTGGTAAATACATGTATAACGTGTTTGTCAGTTGTTTTTTTAATCGGATGATTACTTCCCAGAATTCCCTTTCATTCATTTGTAATATAGATAATTAATATTCATCTTTATACTATGAACCCTGAAAACAGGTACAGGCCAGGGATGAAGGGTAGATATGACGATGAGTACTGTTTTGAAAAGAAGGGATTCATATGCCAAATAGCTATAGGTAACTATACAATTTTATAACATACCTAGTACAAGTTTGTCAAGATTGTTAGAGAAATATGCTTTACATTTAAATACTTAATCGATACATTTCCTCTTACAGATTCTCAAAATGTATTAGTCATTAATTAAGTATAATGTTATATATACTGTTCACGTTCACTGTACATATGATGTCTTATCTGATTATGTTCTATTCTCGTTTCTGTAGATTGTGACTGTGATTGTTAAACTTTTCCATCTGATGTAGCTATCATGGTTTACCTGGTAACTTCATTATTAACGTAGACAAAAACCTCAATTGTGTCGCTTATATTGAAAAAAAGATTCGTATACGTCATTTCAACACCTCGACTTCTATATTTTTAGTGTAACTGACTGATACTATGAGAACTACTATATATAATACACTATATAATTTGTTGATTGATTTCATTTAATCTTGTACATCTTGTATCCATCTTGTAAAACTCAGAGAGGTTGTAGCATAAATAAAATATGCAGTAATGTCTAAATATTTGTGTTCTTTATTATCACGTTGTTCATACAGACAACCACCAAAATATGTAAAATAACTCCAGGCTCTTATCTTTGAAAATATAATATGTATACATACTAGAATTCAGCATTCAAAATATAAATATTAACTCAGTGATCAAGCAGAGAATACATGGAAAACTAAAATTACAAATTGCGTTTTCACCATTTAAGTGCAAAAGAATGAAATATTGCAAAGATATTTAATTACATATACATTAATTTAGACAAATAATATGAATATCTGGTTCAAATTGGAACAAAAAGAAAGTAACAGAAAAATGAATATTCACATAACAGCATGCTCCCTCATAAAAATTGAAATATAGACCCTCTGAAACGCTATTTCTTGTATTTTAAGAGGCAAAGTTTGCTAACACAAAGGATTTTAGCTTGATTGTGGAGGGCGCCCCAAACATGTTTTAGGGAGAGAGACTGACTTTCTACTCCCCCCCTCCTGTGCCGCCGCCAATGAACACACAACAAGAGAATCGAAGTCGCGCACACGGCGTAGCACATCACCACTGCAAGCGAACACGCTAACGGTAAACCATACTAACTGACCACAAAAAGTCACTCCGAAATGACCTGTAGTGAACTCGCCTCCAGTGACTAAATGGAAATATACTGAATCCAGAACAACACAAACAACTATATAAAAAGCCTAGTATTCATTATTCAACCTTATGAATATCCACGGAGACATATCCACCACCAGAGACAATTGGCTAAGGACATGTAATTACAGGCAAATTATACGAATTAAAAGAAGTGACTAAAAATTACAATCTAGTGATAGTGAATTATGATATAATGAACGCAAAATGTTAAACCCAAAATTATCTCAATTTTCAAGTATAACCGAGGAAAAAATAAATAATGATACTAATGACAGTAATAAAGAATTAAATTAATCAACAGTGAGTTGACTAATTGGAATAAGTGAATGTTGGCGGAGTGTCTACACGCACGAACTATGCGTTGCAGCTTCACCTAAACTCCAAAACCAAACAAAAAACTTACATACATTATTTTAAAATATATATCTCAATTAAGCTTTAAAGCCGGTCTTGGTTGACTATTTCTAATGTAGTCAATAGGGAAATCCAGTATTGTACTCTCGTGTACTTAAAGTTATGTTGGTTGAGTTTACTATTTGTTCTGGAAATGTACAGAATGTGACTGGTTGCATGTCAGGTTGGGTAACAGTAGGGAATAGGTGGGAAATATTCCACAACCATAAAAAGGGTAGTTGTTGAGGTACAAAATAAAAATTTACAGAGCTGAATAATATTAAGTATGTTAGTTAAAAATTGGAAGAGGGCGAGAACAGAATCAAAATAGGTTGAAGCAAAGAAGTAAAAGCATTTCCTCAGATGTGTATACAATAGCTTATATGAAACAAGATTAAAGTATCATAGATAAGAATTAGAATAAATTTGAGAAGACACTGACGAAATTGTGAAATGTTTCCTGTTTTGGAGGGCAATAATTTTTACAAACTTTCTTTATATGTTTATGTGTTTGTAGATGCTCACTCCAAAAATCTGGGGGAATTAAGGTTCCCAACTAGAGAACGAAACACATCAATTTTTTACTCCGTTCTTACAATCCTTTAACGTTTTTGCTACCATGTAATGGGTTTTACAATATTTATGGTAAGTTTGTTAGCACTGCTAGCAATGGCAACAAACTAACAAGGGCGCTGTTGTACGTGGATCAAGTTTCACTTCCTGTAGTATCGTGTGTTATTCCGATTGGGTATTTCGCAACAGCTTTCTTTGTAGATATATTTAGTATATAAGGTTGTAATACCAATGTGTTTAGGAATTTTCAATCATGGTTTTTGTAGTGATCTTGAAATGGTTAAATAGTCACTGTACTTGATGATGAGTTAGTACATGCGATTTGACCTGGTATATAGCCTGTAATCATTATGCATATTCTTAGGGGTCATTGCGATCGTTTGTACAAATAGATCCTTTTTTTCGTGTTTTTCAAGAAATGTGAAGTAATATAGAGTAGTATTTGTATCTAATTTGTAAAGTATTATAATTAATCATAGTTTTCTACCTTTTGTGACAAAGAATCTCTGAACAAGGTAAGTCTGACTACTGTAAATCACTTTAGATCATCACATGTAAAAGCAATTTCCTGGCCATTTGGAGGGGATATTAAAATAAATTGGTTATCTGGAGCAGAGAGATAAGAGAGAAGTTTAAACAGAAATGTGCCGAAATAAGATCTCATCGCCTACAGGCACTTAAATAGAAACAATGTGAAATTGAAGGTAAAAAGAAAAAGCAGTTAAAAGAGAAGACGAAAATCAGTGATCAAATGATATATTTTGGTCTATGGCAGACCACATATGAGGTCATTTATAAACTGGAGGAAATCCAACAATAAAAGAAAAAAAGATCTGCATTAACAGCACAGCTGAAATTAAGAAAAACAGTACTTCAGCAAACTCCCTCCAATACTCAACTTTATAAACTTTACAAAAAACTACCAAGTGGGAAATATGCACAAAAAACATCAAAGAACTTACAGAATGTATTCAGCAGTTAATTATAGAAGCCTATTCTGATGGTGTTGCGGGCGCTACCCTTAATTCTTTACTCAGAATGATAATAGCTGTAATTTCGTAGTCTTCACGAACTTTATTTTTGCTGTCTATACCATCCAGGTAAACT